AGAGGGTCACCTAACAGATGGACCCAGGGCTATGCAGGGCCTGAACAAGTAAGACTCCAAATAGGGGAACTGTGGTGATCAGAAAGGGTACATAAAGATTATTAACAGTGAAAGATCTGGCAGAGATAGGAAGGGTTGAGTTCTGTGGATTGTTCCAGGTTTGTGTGAGTTCATTATACAAATAAAGAATTGTTATGATTCTTTTTAAAAAATTATATTTTCTTATTATGCTATTACAATTGTCCCAATTTTTCTTCCTTTGTCCCCCGTCCACCCAGCAGCCCCCACTCTTAGGCAAACCCCGCACCATTGTTCATGTTCATGGGCCGTGCATATAAGTTCTTTGGCTACTCCATTTCCTATACTGCACTTTATAACCCCATGGCTATTCTGTGACTACTTATTTGTACTTCTTAATCCCCTCACCTCTTTATTCATTCCCCTACAACCCCTCCCATCTGGCAACCATCAAAATGCTCTCTATATCCATGATTCTGTATCTGTTCTTCTTGTTTGCTTAGTTTGTTGATTAATTCAATCGTTGAAAGATATGCATTTGTTTCCATTTCATTGTTCAGAATTTTGATCTTCTTATTCTTAAATAAGTCCCCTTAACATTTCATATAATAACAGTTTTGTGATGATGAACTCTTTTATTTATTTATTTTTCTTGTCAGGGAAGAACTTTATTTGCCTTCCAATTCTAAATGACATCTTTGCTGGGTAGAGTAATCTTGCCTGTATTTCCCTGTGTTCATGACTTTGAATATTTCTTGCCAATCCCTTCTAGCCTGCAAAGTTTCTTTTGAGAAATCAGCTGACAGTCTTATGGCATTTTACCTGCAGGTAACTAACTGCTTTTCTCTAGCTGTTTTTAAGATTCTCTCTGTATCTTTAAACATTGGCATTTTACTTATGATGTGTCTTAGAATGGGCATTATTGCATCCATGTTGTTTGGGACTCTCTATGCTTCCTGGACTTGCATGTCTATTTCCTTCACCAAATTAGGGATGTTTTCTGTCATTATTTTTTCAAATAGATTTCCAACTTCTTGCTCTTTCTTTTCTCCTCCTGGTACTGCTATGATGCAGATGTTGGACCTCTTAAAGTTCTCCCAGAGGCTTCTTATATTATCTTCATTTTTTTAATTATTTTTTCTTCTTGTTCTGATTGGTTGTTTTTGGATTCCTTATGTTCCAAATTATTGACATGATTCTTGGCTTCATCTGTTCTACTATTGTTTCCCTGTAAACTGTTCTTTATTTCAATTAGTGTGTCCTTTGTGTCTGACTGGACATTTTTATGCTGTTGAGGTAGTCACTAAGTTCCTTGAGCATCCTTATAACCAGCGTTTTGAACTCTGCATCTGATAAATTGCTTATCTCCATTTTGTTTAGTTCTTCTTCTGGAGTATTTAAAATTTTTTAAATTTAATCTTTATTGTATTTTTTTCCATTACCATTTAGTCCATCTCTGGAGTTTTGATTTATTGTTTCATTTGGGCCATGTTTCTTTGTCATTTCATTTTGGCAGCCTTCCTGTGTTTGTTTCTCAGTATTAGATAGAGCTATTATGACTCTATCTTGGTATCATGGCCTAACTTAGTAGGTGTTCTGTAGAGCCCAATGGCACAGCCTCCCTGTCACCTGAGCTGGGTACTAAAGCTGTGCCCTTCATGTGGGCTTAGTACACTCTTGGAGTTGAGCCTTGGTTACTGTTGGTAGGTCAATGGGAGGGATTTGCTCAGGCCAGTCAGCTGCAAGGACTGGTTGTGACCACTAACCACCAACCTCTGCCCTCAGTGGAGGTACAGCTGTCCAGGGGCAGGGTGATGATGATTGGACATGCTCTGTACCTGTCCACTGGGTACACAGGCCCTGTGGTTTCCTGTGTGGTGAAGGCCAAGGTCAGCCCCAACCTGCATTATGCCTAGGACCACCCTGCCTGAGCTATAAAGCAATATGAGAAGTCTGCTACTTGTGCTGGGCTTGGAGATTCCCAGGTAAAGCCAATATGTAAATCTAGGCTGGTTGCCGCTAGTGCTACACCTGGGGCCACTTAGCAACAGGTATGGGGGTTGGGGACTCAGTGAGGCCAGCTGTTACTTGTTTGAAAGGATTTAGGAAGTTGTGAAGCATGAGCCAAGACCAGCCTTTCATACAGAAAAGCCACTGTTAACAGCTGTATTTTGGGTGGGACAGAGCTTCAGGAGATCTCCAGGGTGGGGCACACAGTATTAGCTAGCTTGATGGAGTCTCAGATATGGCACCTGCCTGCTTTCTCTGTGGTTCTAGCCACCTTTCTGTCTGGGAGAAAGCTGTCGCCCAGCTCTCACCTTGATGCTGGAGGAACAACATTTCACTGGTACCTTTCAAGCTGCTACCCAGGTGCTAGAGCTCGGAGGGAGTGATTCTAAGTAAGTTAGTGTGCAGGTTCTTTAACAGAAACTGCTTGGGACTCCAGTAGTTTCTTCCACTGACTCCATCCCTACTGGGTTTTGCAGCCAGAAGTTATGGGGACTTATATGCCTGGCACTGAAATCCTGGGCTACAGGGCCTGGTGTGGGGCTGGGACTCCTTGCTCCCAAGATATCCCTCCAGAATTTTTATCCACCACGCATGGATGTGGGACCCACCCATTCCACATCTTTGCCCCTCCTGACAGTCTGGATGTGGTTTCTTTCATTCTGTAGTTGTCAGTCTTCCCTTAAACTCAATTTCTGACAGTTCTGAGTGATGGTTGTTCTTTATTTTAGTTGTAATTTTGATGTAGTTGTGCAAGGAGGTGAACTGTGTTTACCTGTGCTGCCATCTTGGCTAAAAGTGTGTCATGATTTTTAATAAAAGCTGAAAATATCTATACTATTTATAGGATGACTGTACCATTTTACATTCCCAACAGTAATGTATGAGAGACTCAGTCTCTCTGTATCCTTGCCCATGTTAGATACTGTCACTATTTTTATTATTTTTATATAAGACATTCTAACAAATGTTGTGATATCTCTGGTGTTCTTCCTCTGAAGTCTTGTCCCCTCTTATGTTCTGCCCTGTGAACTCTACTTGTATTGGTGTCCTTGAACTCCTAATCTATCTTCTCAACTTAGGGAGACAGACTGACTCCGCCTGGGTTCTCCTTCTCTTGCCACATGGCCTAGAAGCTCCATGGAGTTTGTTTCTCATCTCTTGGTGATCACTGTCCATCACTGTCTGTTTTCCAAAGTTTTGAAATCTGTTGCTTCATATAAGTTGTTCATTTTTATAGGGTTTTCAGGGAAATTCCAGTTGCTGTTGTTCTACTTTGCCTATAAATGCAAGTCCATTTTAGATTAATTTACAATGAGAAATAGTGCTTATGCTTAGAATCTAAGTCTTAAATGGATTCATTGTCAATTTTCTAATCAGAGTATCTGTTCTATCTCTATCTCTGTATCTATATAACTAATATCTGTCTATCTACCTATCACCATGCATTTTGCTTAACTAGAATTCAGGAGTTCTACTATTAGAATTATTATTACTTATATATAGCATCTGAGATATTAACCTTTTTGAGTCACTTCTTTTATTTGTAAAATGAAACATCAGTCTATATGAGCCTTAATTCCTATGCTGAGATTCTAGGATGTTATTTGACTTATTCTAGAAGAAATGAAAGTGTTGGTAGCTGCTGTCTTAGTATGTGCTATTTTTAAAAAGTAAAATGACATTGATAGAATAATGGGCATGTGTCAGTAATTGCTGTATAATAGCAATAACAATAACAACAATAGCTAAAACATTTATCTTTTTGCATGCAGTATCTTATATAATATTAACAACATCCCTATGAAATATTACTCAAATTTGGAAGATGAGGATAATCTGGCCATAAGAGGAAAAAACAAAAATAAAAACCTACCCAGTCTAAAGGTTATACTTAGAACACACACAGAGGTCCTTTCTTCATAGTTAATAAAGGGGTACTTTCAAACAATCCATAATAGGAACAAAACTACCATAATTATAAAGAGATAGGTGATGCATGCAGTTGAATATATTATCCCTGCTGATTTTAGGCAGCTACTGGGCTCGGCAGAGGATTCTTTATTTCCTTCTCACATTGCAAATAGACCTTACCAGAATGGGTGGGCAAAATGGGCACCGAAGAGGAACAGCACAAGCAAATTGTGAGAGTGAAATGCTGTAAATGCCTTGTATGAAGTAAGTGCCCAATATTGATAGTTGTTTTTGCTATTATTGTTGTAAATGATCAATATCAGCACTGCAAATGATCAGCCTGGTAGACTTTGCAGATCACAAAAGAAGTTCCTAAACCACCATTAGAAAACCCCTCCGTGAATGACAAGGTGAAACATCCTCCTGTAAGGGGCTTATTTATGTTTAGAGAGGGTTAGTATAGTGCTCTAATAATTTCCAGAATGCTTTTAAAATATTATCTTATGATGTCACTTTTAATTAAAGTGACTAAAGTCAACATTGTAACTTCCCAGTTTTACTCACCCAGGCATTAGGGACCGATAGTGATGCTGCTGCTTTGAATGTTCTCTTATCCAGGGCTATATCATCAGCTCTGGAAAATCTAAATAGACTGATGGGAATGGGGTTACTGGCTGAGGGTTAGAAAGAGGGAGAGTGGGAAGCTGAAAGGTATGTAAAAATTCATGATTGATTTATACTCCAAATATTCTAAAACAACAAAATAGCCATTTTGGAGAGATGACCCAAATAAAGGCCAAAAATCTTGATGTTCCAGTAATGATAGGAAAGGGTTAAAGGAAGTACATGTGAAGAATATAAGGAAATGACTTGGTTTGAAATTCATGGGCAAGATCCGGGTGCTATGAGCCTCAGAAGAGTGGGTGCAACTAAGGAATGGAACAAGTTATTGACAAAGTCAAATCGCAGTTTCCCAGGCTTGAGACACTTCCTGTCTTGGATGCCTGGGTCTGTCTCAATGTCCAAATAGCCTTACTTCAAAGTGTTTGTGGGAGCAGAAAGGAGACTTGGCTGAGTGTGTTTATTCAGTCCTGGGTTGGGGAAGTGAGAAGGGAGTGGGCTAAGGAAGAAGTCTGGGTTTAAAAGCACATGCATGGACCACAAGGTGGTAATCATTTTTCTGAAGACCAAACTCCAGGGCACTTCTCCAAGAGAAGGAAACCCTGGGAGGGAAGAACTTGTTCAACAAGAAGAAACAAGAATCTTTAAAGCTACTTAAGTTTGTAGTAGGTAAGTCACAGTGATTTTGGAAGCTCCAGGGAACATGGACTGTTGTTTCTTTTTAAAAAAGCTAAAAATTTTTTGAGATATTTTTAACTTTAAAGAGAAATTACAATAATAATATAAGGAACTCCTGAATACCCTTTATCCAGGTACATTATTTTTAACCCCCCTTCTTTAATAGTTTTATTTCTTTCTCTCTAAACATACATGTACATACATACATATAATCTATGTTTTGAACGATTTGGAGTTTGAGAATAGTCTGCATATGCCATGTTCCTCAGCTCCTTCATAATTCAGGGTTCATTTTCTAAGAATAATTATATTCTCTTAAGTAATCATAGTACAACTTTCAAATTCAGTATATCAAACATTGGTATATTTCTACCTATTCAACAGACTACAGTAATTTTTTTTCCTGGTAAAGAAGGTCTCTCTGATAGGGGCTGAGACTGGCTCAGTAGGAAAAAAGATGCAAGACCCTTCACTCAGCTTTCATTAGCATCTTTATTTGTAGAACCCCAGTAAGTCAGTTATTGGGTTTTCTTTGGTTTCATTCTTATTCCATTCTTTTCTAAAAGCACAAAACTGAGTACAAAATACCAAGTGCTAAGAGGGCTTTAGTAGTAGAAGGGATCTGGTATGTATGACAAGGGTCCTAAGATGCGAAACTGAGCATCTCCCCCTTCACCTCCTACCTCCCTGCCTAGCCTCAGCTTAGGAGCCAGAATGGACTATGGTACTTTTTCTATTCCCTTTAAACTTTTTTGGGGGGAAGAGTGGGTAGCAAGGAGAGTTATAAAGACTTCAGTATGCAAAAATATATTTGGGATAAAAAACAAAGGGATGGTCTTCTGTGGTAATTCTAGTCCTTCACTGAGAATAAGGCTATCTGTAAGAATTTCTCTTAAGGGAAGTGTGACATTGTGCTTGTTCATGTTCTCAACCAGTCTCTTGGGTTATTGGAACTAATTTCTGTTTAAGAGTCAGTTGATTTCAACTTTCCCCCACTGTTGCCCCACTTATGAGTCAATTTCAGAACTGCTTCCCCTCATCCTTCCCATTCTGCAAGATCCACACGTTATTACACAGCAATGGGGAATGTGGTGGGGACGGATAGGAGGTGTCTTGAGGGGGATGGGGTAAGGGAGAGGAAACCCCAAAGGCTATGCTGTCAGGGTTTAAGGAGTCTACTAGAGCCAAGTTTCATCTCAAAGTCATTCCTTTCTTTTCCTTCCTGTTCCCCAGGAAAAATGAAGCTGACTCTGGTACAAATATTTTTTGTGTTGTTGCTGCTGTTGCTGGGCTTGGGGATGGGCCTGGGGTTGGGGCTTCGGATGGCTGCAGCAGTCCTGGAAGACAGTGATGAATCACTGAGTGAATTTTGGTCCAGTGACTCACAGGACAAGGACAAGGCTACTAAGGAGGCAGAAGGCACCCGGACAACAGAAACCCTGCTGCTTAGCAACAAAGGGGTGGTACAGCCTGGCTGGCCAGAAGACACCATCCTCAATGAAGATGAAGTTGGAGGAAACAAGATGCTCAGAGCGGAGGCTCTCTTTCAGAGCAACAAAGACTATCCCAGGCTTGATCTGATGGCCCGGGAATGCAATGCCTTGATGGCACACAAGATGAAGGAACACAATCACACATGCATAACCCAGTACACGTTCATCCATGAGGAGCTGGATACAGTCAGAGCTGTCTGTAATGGTCCTGTTGTTGCCTGTGAGCTCCAGGGAGGCCAGTGTCACAAAAGCTCCCGTCCTTTTGATTTGACACTTTGCAAGTTATCCCAACCAGGCCAACTCACTCCTCACTGCAACTACCTAACTTTCATTTTTGAAAAGTTCATTATTATATCCTGTAATGACATGAAGCTCCAGGAATCATCTGGAAAATGAAACAACTTTCCTCTTCTTTTTCTTCACCTTCTCCTCTTCCTCTTTCTTATAATGTTTTCTTCCTCCTGGGTTTTCTAAAAAAATGTTTCTGGGAAGAGAGGCTGATTTATTCTTTATCATTCCCCCATGAAAATACAATTCTTCTTTGCCCAAGGGTTCCCCTAACTTGCATTTTGTTCCAGTTATTAGAAGTGGCAGAAGAGGTTAATGATATCTAGATTCTCTAGGTTCTTCCTCTCTCAGATCCTATCTCCTGCCCTGGAAAATTAGTGCAGAACTGCTCTAGGCTCTCCCATGGCCCTGGTCATTAGTCTGTTCTCTGGTCTGTTTGTCTTTGTCTGTGGACTATAAAAGGAATGCATCCTTCACCCACATCCTTTCCTGCTACCCACCCTGAGCCTTTAGGACAGTAAACCTCCTGGACTTTCCACATAACACTTCTCTGCTGCGGATGCAAATTAAAGTAATTAAATCTCTGACTGCATCTGGAAAACCATATGGAATGGGTTTCTTTTCTTTTTTTAAATTGAATTAAGGTGACACTGTTTAACAAAATTATACAGGTTTCAGGTGTGCAATTTCACAACCCATCATCTGTACACTGTATTGTGTGTTCACCACCCCAAGCGGAAGGAATGGGTTTCTTTCCTGAGTCTGAATATAAGGCCTAGATTTAGGGATTTATGGGTCTCTTGGTAAGGATCTATGGTCTTGCAAATGAAGACAGAACTTGTGCTGGGGAAGAACAGCCCTCTTTTTCTTGAAGCTTCTCTACTTTTTTCTCTTTCCTCCATCTTTTAGCACCTCTCCATGTTGCTCCTTTTTTCCCCTCTCTTTCCTCCTTTTCCTCACTTTTTGGACCCTCCCTATTCTTTCTCTAAATCCTTGAGAAATTCAGTCAGCCAACACTGTTTGCTTGTGCAATGCCAGGTAAGAAGATGTTGGTCACATGGTCAAAGAGTCTGTCATACCTGGTTGGAGGGAAAGGTGGCTGAAGAGACTTGTTAGGGTGGTTGGTGATGTGGGCCATGAAAGAATTTACAAAGAGAAGAAAGTATAGAGAATAAAGTTTTTATTCACTCTCCAAGAAAGGAGATGGGCATGGTGTGGAGAGATACACCAGCATTAAGGGGTGGGAGCTTTGAGTTTTTATTGGATTATAATTGGGTTAAAAAGGGGTGGGGTTGCTGTTGTGTGGCCTCTGGGCTGTTTGGCCTTTATAATACAAGGCTTCAGTTTGCTCCAATGTTATCATCCACCTGTGGCTGTAAGGAGCTGTTAGTTCTGTTTTTGCTTCCAGTAATTTCCAGTCCTGGGGACAAGCTCAGAAGAGTAAATGACAGTAATGTTCACCAAGGTCATAGGCCAGCTATGCAAATGGTGCCACAATAACAAATGGAGCTGACTTCATCCTTCCATTCCCCGCTCTGGTTTTAAAATGAATTTATTCTTGATGACCTGGCCTGGTTCCTACTTTGGGAAGCAGGGATGAAGGTCTCTTCTTCCATAACTACTCCAGGTGGGTTAGGAATGTAGAGCTGTCCCTGCCTGTGGGTCTGGGTATGGGTCATGAAGGAGAAGAGGGTGGAAATGGTCAGTTCAAACAGCAAGAGCTATGGCTGGAGGCCATTTGTGGAGAGAATCTTTCAGAGCCTGGACACTCCATTGAATGAAGGATATGAGATATTTGAGGAGACATGGCCTAAAAATAATAATAAAGAAAAAGGCTACTATAGGTCCTAGGAAGGGAATTAGTCAGGAAAACCAAGGCCAGATATTGAACTTAATATCCCCCAAAAGGAGAGGCAGAGTAGTAGGTGAATTTTGTATGGCTGACACTGCATCAGCAGTTCTCAATAATTTCAAGTCAAAGGATGAAAGGAAGAAAGGAAACATTAGCTTGGAAGAAAACAAGAAAAATTAGGATTCAATCAGTTTGTGGATGACAATTGGACATTGTGATTTCCATTGAAAGACAATTTCTCTCCCTAAAATCACCCTCATTTTATCAAAGAGACTCTGTGTAAGTCCAGCTTCAATTTGACCTGATTATTTGCACAAATGCAAGAACAGTAGTTCATCAAATAGACTCTTTCAAATTTGCTTTGCTGGATTTTTTTAATAGTTTATTTTTTTACAAGGAACCTTCAGATTGAGCTTTAGTCAGCCTTTCAGGGCAAAGAAGCCTAGCCATTCAGTTGCCATCTGGCTTTGCCTGAAATACCTATTAGTTCAATTTGATTCCTCAAGTTCTTGAGGTCTCCAAAATGTCTTGAGTTTCCCTTATTATCATCTGTCAGGGAAGTGACCTTTGTTCCTTACCTAGAAAGACTGTCAGAAACCATGTGACAAAGCAAGATACCAGATCATTTCTCAAAAGGACTTTTGATAGCTTCAAAAGTCAATCTTAATTCCTTAAGGATTTCTGGTGACATCCAGAGTTCAGGCATGACTCTTTCAATCATGACATTCCCAACAAAGACTTGGTTAATAAAACCACTTTTGCAAACTGTGCTAATATAAATAGAACAGATTCTTTTTGGATTTGGGCAAACAAAAAATTTTCATGAAAATACTACTTACCTATTAAGAGTTGCCAAATTCTGGAGGGATTAGTAGGGAGAAAAATATAAATGTTTCAGTATTGCTTATGAGGGTATACTTTACAAATTGTTCTAGGGGAAGAGTTTCCTTATATATGGAAAACAAAAAGATTTAAAATTAGCAATAGTTTGAACCAAGTCATAATAATAACAATTATCTTTAGTTCATTTAGCCCCTATTACCAATATTGTTTGTCTTGGTTATTTGCCAGTATTTTCATGAATTCAGTTATTCTGAGGGTTCTATAAATATTCATTTGCTTCAAAGATATGACCTACTTAGATACCTGTAATTTAGAGTAAGTTAGAGTCCTTTTAATGAACCTATTCAAAGATACATTTGCAAATGCATTAGAATAAGATAGCAACTGTACAAGATCAAATTTAAAATGACATGGTTGTAGATTTGATAAAAATTTACTTGATAAAGAACTTTTCCTTTTTGTAAAGTATAATGTTTGAAGATAACTATTTCTTGATAAGTAAAAGTTACTATTAAATGACATAAAAGAACAGTATAAAGCCCATATTTTTTAGATTTAATACACAATTTTAATATATATAAAGATCTAACAATATTCAAGGTTTTAATATGCTGTATAGGACTCACCAGAACTGTGCATTGAGCATTGGAAATAGTTCATAAATTCCCAGTGTGTGGGTTACAAACACCCAGAGCCCCTGTTAGATGTCCCCCAGGGAACCATCACTCTTGGCTTGTGCAGTGTCATTGACAGGACACCTGCTACTCCTGAATACACCCTGTTTGAACTCGATTTCAAATCTTTGCAAGGTCCTCCCTGGGGCAGGTCAAAATTTCTAGAAAGTCTATTTGGATAAAAATATATGTATAGTTATTATTATTCTGTTTGACAAAGCTTTCCATGTAATTTTGAGCATATTAAATTGGCTTATTTACTGTATTTTTCAGACCATAAGATGCACCTAGGTTTTAGAGGAGGAAAATAGGAAAAAATTTTTGAAGCAAAAAATGTGGTAAAATATTTAATAACATAAATAATATAATATTTACCAGTGTAAATGTAAACAGAACTCAACAGCAGCATTAACAAACATTATTCCTACCAAATTTGGGGGGGGGAGTATGGTAAAATACAGTAGTTCAAAAACTTCTTTGTTTTTTGAGGAGAGACCAATCCTTGAGGCATTCCAGAGCCCATCACAATAACTCAAAGTCATTTCTGAGTTTTTAAAATGTAAACTTTGGGAAGCTTGCCATATTTGACCAAACGATTATAACATAAACCTTTTGTAAAATAACACATTTTTTGTAATAACCCTAAAAGACATTAATCAAACTTAAAACCAGTTTTAATATAAAATATTTTGTTCACACCACAGGATCCTGTTTAATTTGTATTAGTATTTAATTTCCTTAGACCAGTAAAGCATTATACTCTAGTTATGCCACCCAGAGGCAGAAGACACACCACATGTAACACAAATACATATCACATAAAGACCCTACACATAATTTGAACTACTAATTTTTATAAAGGAAGTATAGAATTTCTCTCATTTGCTTTTGACAACTTTCAAGAAGACTGGGAAAGGGATGAAAGGTCCTAAATACCAAGCAAGAAGACCTGTTGAGATTCTTAATAAAAGCTTTAAGGACTGACTGTTAATGAGTCATGGAAATAAAGTCTCGCTCCAAGGAGCCTAGCAGCAGGGAAGAGCCTGGGTTGGGCTGCTTTGACCCCTGAAAGGTCAGACACCTTCTAACAGAAGATATATGCTCCAGAAGGAGGACCAGGACTTATAGTCCACACCAGCAGAGAAATACAAAGAGATAGATGTGTTTATCCTGTGCCTGAGGGTAACCTTTCCAATAATGAGAACATCAGCCAGATGCCCTGGGAATGGATTTACTCCACTCAGAAAGGGGACTCAGTGCCATGCCTGCCTGTGGATTTGTTTACCCTGTACCCTGAAGGTGGCCTTACAAATGACCAGAGCACCAAAAAAAGGGGAAGGAATGGTCCCCTCAGATATTTGGGGGTGATCAGTTCCTGACTCACTGGACCCTGTGTCTCAGGTGTTACCTGGGGACAGTCATGTAGGGTGACTTCATGTCCAGAGGGCAGCCTTACCTAATACTTCAGCGTTGACAAAACACATCTTGATGAAAGATTTATTCTCCAGTTGACTGGTAGGGTTCCCCACACCAATGAGGACAAGAGAAAGTGTAATGGAAACAAATCCCAGTACCACCAGAGCCATCAAAGAATGTCACCAGACAGGAATTAGGTGGAGGAAGGGGTTGGAGCCTGAGGGTTCTTTTTTCACAAATTTAAAACTTTTACAACCTTCACAAAACTTTCTGCAACTTTCACAAATTGTCTTATCCCTTTAGAAATAACCATTTTTATAATAATTCACTTTCAGTCTTGGTCCTTCAAAATTGCATCTCCATGCCTTCTGCCTTCTATTATTAAAACCATACAATTTCTTTCCAACTTAATTTGAACTTAACTTTTAGAGATCTTAATTTCCCATAATGATTAAAAAGTAAGCAACTGACATTCATTTGACTGATTTATGAGCACATCTCATGACCGTTAGAAACAGGTTCCTCTGCTGGCAAACACACTCTTTCAAGAAACACACCTCTGTAGGGAAAATGGAGTCAGTCAGTCTCCCTCACTTCCTGATAAGCAGCATTCCCATAACCTTGAGCATGGGCCTGCATGCTCAGAATCACCCTTTGCTGTATAATATGTTGGCACCCTTCTGGCTTTGCATGCATTCAGTACATAAGGGAGTTGGGATTCCCTGCCTGTGTGACCTGTGGCTTGCAGCAGATGGCTCCACCCTAGTATAAAGGCATGTCAGACATCCCGATGG